GGCCATCGCTAGAAGGTTGGAGGCCATCGCTCTTAGGTTGGAGGCCAGTGGTAGTAGGTTGGAGGCCTTTGCTAGTAGGTAATGGCTAATGCCAATGAAAAGGGAGTGACTTGATGGAAGCAAATCTATGTACCATCTGTATCTATATACTGCTTCCGAAGTCCTTGCGAGGGAATCTCAAACGCTCCTCGATCTTGGCCACGAATCACCACGAATGGGTCCAACGTGCACGAGTAGTGTAATGTAGTGTGCAAGGTTCTGTCTTTTGGAGAGGCCTTTGAGTTTGCATCGCTTTGCGCAACCATTTTTTCATTGACTCTCTGCCCTTGGCTCATGTGAGTCACGTGATGTGCTGCCAAGCGAAGAAACCGTTTGATCCTTTTTCAGATGTGCCTCTGCAAACAACTCCGTTTGAACCTGAAAAAATCTCCAAGCACCAAACATCAAATGCCCACCCAGTCTGCATCCAAGGAGCGCCAACTGTGCGATGCACAGAGTAAGCGATTTCCTGCCGTCTCCATATCCGCACGCTGACGCCAGGAATAGGTCCAGTCTCTTGCTTCACCAAGTTTTCGTTGCAACTGAATATGCCAACCAAAGGCCTTTGAGATCCTTTGAGGCGTTAAAAACGCCCCCTTGAGGCTTTCGTTCAAGCATCACTTTTGGCTATTTGCCAAGGACTTCACGTCATGGTCAATTTGCCACTTTCTTTTCTACATTCTCTACCACCTCCTTCTCTCTTCGCGACACGGTGCTCCGTTCCCCGCCTCTGACTCGACACCTGTGGTGTGGGCCACTCCACACCCAGGAGTTCAACACCGGTGTCTCTGGGGACCAAACACCCCAAAAAGGGTGTAGTAACAGGAACGCTACGAACGGGGCTGCTGGCCTCGCTACGAACGGAGCGATCGGACGCTACGAACGGGGGCTCCTGGCCTTACTACTAGGAACAGGACGCTACGTACGTAGCAAGAAGCTACGAGCGTAGCAAGGACGCTACTAGGTGAAGTTTGGAGACCGAAGTTGTCTTGAGGGGTCCAGTGTGCATCGGTTTTTGGGTCCGGTCCGGGGTCTGATCCGACGAGGGATGTCCAGTGTCACGGCCACATGTGGTGTTGCCACGCATCCGTGTTGCCCACATGTCCGAGTGATATCGATGTGAAAATGACTAGAATAGAATCTATGGTGATCTCTATGTGACTAATAGAAGTGAAGTTTCATGTCCGACGAGTGGGACTGTAGACCAGGGGCCATCCACCCCGCACTCACATGGATCCGCATGCAATACAATTCCTGAAAAAGCACTTGTCTCTTCTTGTCTCTTATAACAAACACAACCTGAAGCCAGAAAGGCCTGCCACAGCAAATGTATATATAGTTGAACTGCTTGCTGAATAGTTGTTCTTCACTTCAGTGATCATCTATTTTTTTTTGACACCACCTTGCCTCCAATTGCCAGTTCTATTTCTATTTCCACCACGCACCGTTCGTGCGGCGAGCCACTGGCGCCTCTGTTCGTTCTGCGAGTGCGGAGCAGCGTCTCAGCTCCTCGCCTCGGGAAGCGAACAAAGATGCCAAGATCGTCTTGAATCTTTCGGATGTTGAGATATAATTACATAATACTATAATATATATGTCTATATTTGTATGTGTTATATACATATATAACGTGTAGCTATAAGTAATATATATATATATATGACAATACATTATATTATATTGTTAGTATAATATGGACATACAATGTACACTGTGCACCTTTTCTGTGCGGGGTTACCCTGGGTAGTGCTCAATCCATAGCGTTCTGACAATGGCTTTAAACATCAACTGGCAGGAAGGCTGACCACAGGTTCGCTTTCCAGCAACTGGGCAGCCGCTTTGGAGTCTGAAACGGCAGAATTAGATTCTTATTGTTACTAGTAGTAAGGCACTTGTTCCTAATAGCTTCTTGTTTCTACTAGTAAGGCACTTGTTACTAGTAGCGATGCACTTGTTCCTAATAGCTGCCAAAAGAACAAGCAACATTCCCAAAGCTACAGCTATAGACATTCTTATCGTTCCTCATGGACGAAGATCCTCTGCAACACTCCAACGTAAAACTGGTCATGTCTTTCATTCAGATGCGAAACCTGGGCACTTCTTTTTCCGTCCAAACTGCGGCGCAAGCTCTGAAGTTGAAGATTTGGAAGGTCGAGGTCGAACTCCGCTGGATCAAGACCCGTCCTTCCATCACGAACGACTGCCACCCAGGAGAACAAGAACTATTACATCTCCTCATGAAAACAACACGGGATGATGAAACAAACTACGCAGAAACACACACAGAAACATGTTGAACGTGGTTTCTAGATTTCGATGACCTGTAGCCACGGACCTGGATGACCACGATTTCCGACTTCAAGATCAAGAGCAAGGGCCACAGGCGGCCGGACACAGCCCGCTGCGGATCGCAGCGAACAGCTGGAGTCGTACGGATGGCGAGACAAAAACTGAACACGTCTCGTGAGTCTCGCATTGCTCTGTTCAGGCCAGGGGGAAGGTTCTTTGAGATCACTCTGCGATCTAAAAATGGGTGACGAGAGAGACCACTAAGTCTGGGTGAAGAGAGATGCGACGAGTTTCACGCGATGGATTCAACCGTCATCACTGGCCGTGGGAAAAAAGAGGTCCAATCGACTGGATTTCCGGTTCCCTCCCGTGCTTCGATTTGCGAGCAGGATGTAAATTGGACACCTTTCACACCCTGGATGAAAGAACAGGAAAGATTGAAGAAGTTCCAGCAAGCAGCATGCACCTACAAAAAACTCGATCACATAGAATCGTAGAATATATGGCAACATGCAAATCTGCACCTCGCAAAGGATAGTAGTTCGCACACCATTCCATGGTTCTAAAACAAATAAGACATGTATTTACCGTCCAAAAAGGTCCCGGATGCGCTTGGACCTTATGATGTTTCATTCATCTCGGTCCGTTCTGAAGCAGCAATATGGGGCTCATTGGAGCTCCGCTGTTCGCACCCTCTGGCCTGGTGGAAAGGGGGAAAACCATGCATATTGAAGCTTGAAAACTCAACATCCTCAGCCTTTCAGCTAGTCAAATCACAATCACTTCGGCTTGCAAGTGGATTTACTGTTATTTCTGAAAGACTTCTGATGGGTTGCGCACTTGGTGCTGCTTTTGCCCACACTGTGGCACAAGCTCTGAAACAAATACAATTCCAGTGGCATTGAGTACGACAATCGTCCCACTCTGGATATTAACAATATAACTGCTGGACTGTTAAGCATATTATAATGACACAACCCAATTATTTTACATATGCTTTCAATCT